AATTGCTATTTAGAAATACACACACAGATTTCTACTCTTTTTTTTACCATTAATACATTAAAGATGATATACATGAATAATGAAAATCACTGAAGCTAGTCATCGAACCAGCGTTCTGGGTCATATCAGACACACACCTTAATATACCATGATATATGTGATATAGTGTGATTTCCTAGTGTATATAGACATTATAGACACCAGCTATCGATACAAGCCACCATAGACTTAAACTATAAACGTTTAATGTAAATGCATTGCTTATCAAATGCATTGCAATGTAAACGCATTGCTTATCAGCCCCAAGGAGGAGTGTAGGGACTCACAACTGAGAATAGTCTGCATCCCACTACGGCATCGCTACTCTATAAACAAACTCAAGCCACCCCAATCAAACCCAACCCAAGCCAATCCACCCCTAACCCAACCCAAGCCAATCCACCCCTAACCCAACCCAAGCCAATCCACCCCAAACCCAACCCAAGACAATCCACCCGAAAAGAACCCAATCTAACCTAACCTATTCTTACGAAAATAAGAGATGAACTAACATTCGTGTTTTATATATAGTGAGGGTAAGTGACGTCGCTCTGATGTGACAATATTCGTGCTGGTATATATATAGGCTTTTATAGACCCTATAGGAGGACCGGTATAGGTTTTTATAGACCGTACAGGAGGACACCGGCTATCCCGGCTATCTCGGCTATCCCGGCAACTGTCGTGCCCACCAAGGCCGCCCCACCACGAACGAATATCACACGAAATACCCGCTTTATCCGGGATTACAGTCCGTTCTCATTAAATCTGCATTTCTGTTTAAGATACTTTAAATTCAAGGCGTGCTGGCTCGACACCAGAGTATCCGGCAAGGGCAGGGGGGACCGGCTGGAGAGAGGCGGATGGGGATAGGGGAGGGAGAGGATAGGGAAGGAGGGGAGAGGGAAGGAGAGGAGGACCCTAGGATGGGGTAGGTGGGGGATTGGGGGGTACACAGCTGCCTCAAGACAGACTATCATGGCAGCAAGAAAATGACACTTGATTCTCTGTGGCTACAGGAGACGGATTGCATTGACGCCCCGAGGGAAGCAATGAATGTTGATACTGGTTTTTGTAGTATAGTGCTAAGGAAGAGAGAGAGAGAGAGAGAGAGAGAGAGAGAGAGAGAGAGAGAGAGAGAGAGAGAGAGAGAGAGAGAGAGAGAGAGAGAGAGAGAGAGAGAGAGAGAGAGAGAGAGAGAGAGAGAGAGAGAGAGAGAGAGAGAGAGAGAGAGAGAGAGAGAGAGAGAGAGAGAGAGAGAGAGAGAGAGAGAGAGAGAGAGAGAGAGAGAGAGAGAGAGATTATGAGTGTGTTTACATTTGTCAGACAGCAAATGCTATTTTTGAAACGTGTTGTACAGCACAAATATTCTATGAGAACAGGACAAGAATTAGGTGAAAACGTCTTAGATCATCAGTCATTCTAACCATGTAATTGGCTGCAAAGTGACCAAATGTGTTCCTCTACAACGACGGTTTTATTGAGAGAAATTTATTGGAATGTGTTCTCATCAGCCATAACTATAAGACATTGAATAACAGCTCGGAACTGTTTCAAATAAACTCATTCCTTACAGCTAAGATTGCCATCATGTTTCAAAGCCAATTACCCTGCAAACACACAACGTAACTGTCCCAATTTTTCGCTTGTTACAACTTGTAATAAAGTTGTTACATCTTGATGTAACGTTTTTATGACGCATTAGAACGTTGTTACAAGTTGCTATATTGGTTGTTACAACTTGTTAGGTGTTAAATCTTGTTCGAATGTTGTAGCAACGTCGTAGTTTCGTCGTCTGGCGGGTTAAACCTTGTTCGAACGTTGTAGCAACGTCGTAGTTTAGTCGTGTGTTTGGTGGGTTAAACCTTGTTCGAACGTTGTAGCAACGTCGTAGTTTCGTCGTCTGGCAGGTTAAACCTTGTTCGAACGTTGTAGCAACGTCGTAGTTTCGTCGTGTATTTGGCGGGAGGTCATTCACGGTCACTCAGCCTGTGGCTTTGCATGACGCTTCGTTCCTGCCAAATAAAAATCGTGTGTTTGTTGGTACCGTAAAATAGTAATTATTATATACTATGTCAAGTGTCCCGCCATAACTTATGTTGTGAAATTCTTTATGCTGTTCATTAACTATTGGCCCATTTTCTTTATTTATATTTTTTATGTACCTTTTTGAGTAAGTTTAAGCAACACCTTCCCACCATCCCCCTCTTACCCTCATCATCTCTTCCCTACCCCCCCCCTCTCCCCCTCCAACCTCGAACCGACATACATTTCCATTTACATATAAAGTAACTCGTGGAAATGAGTGGATAAATTGCAGGAGTAACTGAACACTCTATGGACAACGTATCCCCGATTTCATTTCCCCCTTCATTAAAATATCACAGGATTGGGGGGGGGGAGGGTTATAAGATATATTTCTTAAAGCATTTAACTGATATGTAATGCTGAGATGAAGTTTTAATGTTGATATGTAATGCTGAGATGAAGTTTTAATGCTGAGATGAAGTTTTGATGCTGATATATAATGCTGAGATGAAGTTTTAATGCTGAGATGAAGTTTTAATGCTGACATGAAGTTTTAATGCTGACATGAAGTTTTAATGCTGACATATAATGCTGAGATGAAGTTTTAATGATGAGATGAAATTTTAATGCTGACATGTAATGCTGAGATGAAGTTTTAATGCTGAGATGAAATTTTAATGCTGATATGTAATGCTGAGACGAAGTTTTAATGCTGACATCAAGCTTGCTCGCCGTCGCCTCTCGCTCCACCTATATTCTCTAAGCCTCACTCTTCACAAGTTCAATAATAGAGCGAACAAGCTTAATTCCTCAAGCGGTTGATTCTGACGTCCAGCTGAAAGCTTAAGCTGATTTAGTATCCAGCACTGAGTCTCTGTTATTGATCTCTGGATTGTTGATGCCTCTTGAAGGTGTATTGGTATACTCGTGTAAGAGGGAGCTGATATGTTGGTATACTCGTGTATGAGGGAGCTGATATGTTGGTATACTCGTGTAAGAGGGAGCTGATATGTTGGTATACTCGTGTATGAGGGAGCTGATATGTTGGTATACTTGTGTATGGGGAGCTGATATGTTGGTAAACTTGTGTATGAGGGAGTTGATATGTTGGTATACTCGTGTATGAGGGAGCTGATATGTTGGTATACTTGTGTATGGGGGAGCTGATATGTTGGTATACTCGTGTATGAGGGAGCTGATATGTTGGTATATTTGTGTATGGGGGAGCTGATATGTTGGTATACTCGTGTATAAAGGAGCTGATATGTTGGTATACTTGTGTATGGGGAGCTGATATGTTGGTATACTTGTGTATGGGGAGCTGATATGTTGGTAAACTTGTGTATGAGGGAGTTGATATGTTGGTATACTTGTGTATGAGGGAGTTGATATGTTGGTATACTTGTGTATGGGGGAGCTGATATGTTGGTATACTCGTGTATGAGGGAGCTGATATGTTGGTATACTTGTGTATGGGGAGCTGATATGTTGGTATACTTGTGTATGGGGAGCTGATATGTTGGTAAACTTGTGTATGAGGGAGTTGATATGTTGGTATACTTGTGTATGAGGGAGTTGATATGTTGGTATACTTGTGTATGGGGGAGCTGATATGTTGGTATACTCGTGTATGAGGGAGCTGATATGTTGGTATACTTGTGTATGGGGAGCTGATATGTTGGTATACTTGTGTATGGGGAGCTGATATGTTGGTAAACTTGTGTATGAGGGAGTTGATATGTTGGTATACTTGTGTATGAGGGAGTTGATATGTTGGTATACTTGTGTATGGGGGAGCTGATATGTTGGGTATACTCGTGTATGAGGGAGCTGATATGTTGGTATGGTTGTGTATGAGGGAGCTGATATGTTGGTATACTTGTGTATGTGGGAGCTGACATGTTGGTATACTTGTGTATGAGGGAGCTGACATGTTGGTATACTTGTGTATGAGGGAGCTGATATGTTGGTATGGTTGTGTATGAGGGAGCTGATATGTTGGTATACTTGTGTATGTGAGAGCTGATATGTTGGTATACTTGTGTATGAGGGAGCTGATATGTTGGTATACTCGTGAATGAGGGAGCTGACATGTTGGTATACTTGTGTATGAGGGAGCTGACATGTTGATATACTTGTGTATGGGAGAGCTGATATGTTGGTATACTCGTGTATGAGGGAGCTGATGTGTTGGTATACTTGTGTATGGGGGAGCTGATATGTTGGTTATACTATGTGTTGGGTATGTCCTTATGTTGTATTTGGTTATACTGTGTTGGGTATACTTTTATGTTGTGTTTGGTTATACTATGTGTTGGGTATACTTTTATGTTGTGTTTGGTTATACTATGTGATTAGAACGCCCTAAGGATGTGTTGGTTATGTGTTCGTAGCTCCTTCATGCTGTGCCTTCATGCTGTGCCTTCATGCTGAGCCTTCATGCTGTACCTTCATGCTGTACCTTCATGCTGTACCTTCATGCTGTACCTTCATGCTGTGCCTTTATGCTGAGCCTTCATGCTGTGTCTTCATGCTGTGCCTTCATGCTGAGCCTTCATGCTGTACCTTCATGCTGTACCTTCATGCTGTACCTTCATGCTGTACCTTCATGCTGTGCCTTCATGCTGAGCCTTCATGCTGTGTCTTCATGCTGTGCCTTCATGCTGTGCCTTCATGCTGAGCCTTCATGCTGTGCCTTCATGCTGAGCCTTCATGCTGTGTCTTCATGCTGTGCCTTCATGCTGTGTCTTCATGCTGTGCCTTCATGCTGAGCCTTCATGCTGTGGCTTCATGCTGAGCCTTCATGCTGAGCCTTCATACTGAGCCTTCATGCTAAGCCTTCATGCTGTGTCTTCATGCTGTGCCTTCATGCTGAGCCTTCATGCTGAGCCTTCATGCTGTGTCTTCATGCTGTGCCTTCATGCTGAGCCTTCATGCTGTGCCTTCATTCTGTGCCTTCATGCTGTACCTTCATGCTGAGCCTTCATGCTAAGCCTTCATGCTGTGCCTTCATGCTGAGCCTTCATGCTGAGCCTTCATGCTGTACCTTCATGCTGAGCCTTCATACTGTGTCTTCATGCTGTGCCTTCATGCTGAGCCTTCATGCTGAGCCTTCATGCTGTGGCTTCATGCTGAGCCTTCATGCTGTGTCTTCATGCTGTGCCTTCATGCTGTGCCTTCATGCTGAGCCTTCATGCTGTGTCTTCATGCTGTGCCTTCATGCTGAGCCTTCATGCTGTGCCTTCATGCTGAGCCTTCATGCTGTGCCTTCATTCTGTGCCTTCATGCTGTACCTTCATGCTGAGCCTTCATGCTAAGCCTTCATGCTGTGCCTTCATGCTGAGCCTTCATGCTGAGCCTTCATGCTGTACCTTCATGCTGAGCCTTCATACTGTGTCTTCATGCTGTGCCTTCATGCTGAGCCTTCATGCTGAGCCTTCATGCTGTGGCTTCATGCTGAGCCTTCATGCTGTGTCTTCATGCTGTGCCTTCATGCTGTGCCTTCATGCTGAGCCTTCATGCTGTGTCTTCATGCTGTGCCTTCATGCTGAGCCTTCATGCTGAGCCTTCATGCTGAGCCTTCATGCTGTACCTTCATGCTGAGCCTTCATACTGTGTCTTCATGCTGTGCCTTCATGCTGAGCCTTCATGCTGTACCTTCATGCTGAGCCTTCATGCTGTACCTTCATGCTGAGCCTTCATACTGTGTCTTCATGCTGTGCCTTCATGCTGAGCCTTCATGCTGAGCCTTCATGCTGTGTCTTCATGCTGTGCCTTCATGCTGTGGGGGTTATGCTTATCTTGCCTACAGTCCGGTAATTCAGCGATACAGTGGGCAAGCATGGTACTATTTATTTGACAGAAATCACATTCCCGTCCTATATATTGCTCTCCTAAAGTTTACTCAAGCGTTCACTCATCCTACCCCTTCTCCCCCTCAGCCCAGGATATCTCCCTCAGCCCAGGATATCTCTCTCAGCGTAGGATATCTCCCTCAGCCTAGGATATCTCCCTCAGCCTAGGATATCTCCCTCAGCCTAGGATATCTCCCTCAGCCCCAGGATATCTCCCTCAGTCCAGGATATCTCCCTCAGCCCCAGGATATCTCCCTCAGCCCCAGGATATCTCCCTCAGTCCAGGATATCTCCCTCAGCCCCAGGATATCTCCCTCAGCCCAGGATATCTCCCTCAGATTAGGATATCTCCCTCAGCCCAGGATATCTCCCTCAGTCCAGGATATCTCCCTCAGCCCCAGGATATCTCCCTCAGTCCAGGATATCTCCCTCAGCCCCAGGATATCTCCCTCAGCCCCAGGATATCTCCCTCAGCCCCAGGATATCTCCCTCAGTCCAGGATATCTCCCTCAGCCCCAGGATATCTCCCTCAGTCCAGGATATCTCCCTCAGTCCAGGATATCTCCCTCAGCCCCAGGATATCTTCCTCAGTCCAGGATATCTCCCTCAGTCCAGGATATCTCCCTCAGCCCCAGGATATCTCCCTCAGCCCCAGGATATCTCCCTCAGTCCAGGATATCTCCCTCAGCCCCAGGATATCTCCCTCAGTCCAGGATATCTCCCTCAGTCCAGGATATCTCCCTCAGCCCCAGGATATCTCTCTGAGCCCCAGGATATCTCCCTCAGCCCAGGATACCTCCCTCAGCCCCAGGATATTTCCCTCAGCCCGGGATATCTCAGTCTTTGGCGGCTTTGTTTACAATTATTAAACAGTTAATGAGCTCCGAAGCACCAGGAGGCTGTTTATAACAATAACAACAGTTGATTGGCAAGTTTTCATGCTTGTAAACTGTTTAACAAATGTAACCAAAGCCGTCAAAGACTGAAGAAAGATGTACACGTTCGTAAATGCTTGCGTAACTGCTTCGTGAATCTGGCCCCAGGTTCCTAAGTGTCCCACTACTCCCTACACCCTGAACAAGGGCTTCCCGCACAAACGAAAACACACGTAAGGAATCTTTCAGAACCCTGTATACCACACACATGTAAGGAATCTTTCAGAACCCTGTATACCACACACATGTAAGGAATCTTTCAGAACCCTGTATACCACACACATGTAAGGAATCTTTCAGAACCCTGTATACCACACACATGTAAGGAATCTTTCAGAACCCTGTATACCACACACATGTAAGGAATCTTTCAGAACCCTGTATACCACACACATGTAAGGAATCTTTCAGAACCCTGTATACCACACACATGTAAGGAATCTTTCAGAACCCTGTATACCACACACATGTAAGGAATCTTTCAGAACCCTGTATACCACACACATGTAAGGAATCTTTCAGAACCCTGTATACCACACACAGGTAAGGAATCTTTCAGAACCCTGTATACCACACACATGTAAGGAATCTTTCAGAACCCTGTATACCACTTATGTAAGACCAATCCTGGAGTATGCAGCTCCAGCCTGGAGTCCATACCTAGTTAAACACAAGACAAAGTTAGAGAAGATTCAGCGGTATGTCACCAGGCTCGTCCCGGAACTGAGAGGATTGAGCTATAAGGAAAGGCTAAAGGAGCTGAACCTCACATCCCTGGAAAACAGAAGAGTAAGGGGAGACATGATAACCACCTACAAAATTCTCAGGGGAATTGACAGGGTGGACAAAGACAAACTCTTCAGCACGGGTGGGACACGAACAAGGGGACACAGGTGGAAACTTAGTACCCAGATGAGCCACAGAGACGTTAGAAAGATTTTTTTCAGTGTCAGAGTAGTAAATAAATGGAATGCACTAGGCAGTGATGTGGTGGAGGCTGACTCCATACACAGTTTCAAATGTAGATATGATAGAGCCCAGTAGGCTCAGGAATCTGTACACCAGTTGATTGACAGTTGAGAGGCGGGACAAAAGAGCCAAAGCTCAACCCCCGCAAGCACAATTAGGTGAGTACGTAATGGCGCACTGCCAAACAGCTTCTGTAGGTGGCGGAAGCCATTCTTAAACCCCCCGTACACTGGCTAGAGGTTCATCTACACAAATCTTATAATCCCTTAGCTCAAAGATTGGGGGTTTCAGATTTCGAACCCATTAATGTGATTAATGGGTTCGAAATACTTTTCGAACCCCGAACCCAGGAAAAAAGGTACTTCTCCTGCCACTCACTTACCAGAATGTAAAGCTTTAATAAACTAATGCTGCAGTGCAATGTTGCATCCAAGTTTGAGAGCTGCATTGCGACATTAAAATATTTTTTGGTTGTAAGCTAAAGTTCTTAAAGACTTAAGTGAAGATAACGAGATGTTCTTGGTATATTAAATGATAACCTATGAGGAGGACGATGATAACCTATCAAGGAGGACTATGATAATCTATCAAGGAGGACTATGATAACCTATCGAGGGAGGACGATGATAACCTATCAAGGGAGGACGATGATAACCTATCAAGGAGGACGATGATAACCTATCAAGGAGGACGATGATAACCTATCAAGGAGGACTGTGATAACCTATCAAGGGAGGACGATGATAACCTATCAAGGAGGACGATGATAACCTATCAAGGAGGACTATGATAACCTATCAAGGAGGACTATGATAACCTATCAAGGAGGACTATGATAACCTATCAAGGAGGACGATGATAACCTATCAAGGAGGACTATGATAACCTATCAAGGAGGACGATGATAACCTATCAAGGAGGACTATGATAACCTATCAAGGAGGACGATGATAATCTATCAAGGAGGACTATGATAACCTATCAAGGAGGACTATGATAACCTATCAAGGAGGACTATGATAACCTATCAAGGAGGACGACAATGATAACCTATCAAGGAGGACTATGATAACCTATCAAGGAGGACTATGATAACCTATCAAGGAGGACTATGATAACCTATCAAGGGAGGACGATGATAACCTATCAAGGAGGACGATGATAACCTATCAAGGAGGACTGTGATAACCTATCAAGGGAGGACGATGATAACCTATCAAGGAGGACTATGATAACCTATCAAGGAGGACGATGATAACCTATGAAGGAGGACAATGATAACCTATCAAGGAGGACGATGATAACCTACATTTGCTATGCTGTCACATGTCCATATGTACGCTTTCTCTCTCTCTCTCTCTCTCTCTCTCTCTCTCTCTCTCTCTCTCTCTCTCTCTCTCTCTCTCTCTCTCTCTCTCTCTCTCTCTCTCTCTCTCTCTTCCATCACACAATCATTATCTCTTCACATGCCTGCAGCGTTGCTCAGATTTTTCTTAGGAGATTGCCTCACATTTCATATCCCCTTACCCCCCCTACCCCCCCTTCCATCTTTCCCAATATCTCCACTACCTCTGTCCCCCCCTCCCTCCCTTCACTTAATCCCCTCACACCACCTCTTCCTTCTCGTCCCCCCTTCCACTTCTTCCAATTCCCATTTCCATCGTTTTTTCCCTTCTCTCGAAATCCCAACTCTCTTGTGTATGTGTTTCCTTACTTCGTCTCTCTCTGTCTCTCTCTCTCTCTCTCTCTCTCTCTCTCTCTCTCTCTCTCTCTCTCTCTCTCTCTCTCTCTCTCTCTCTCTCTCTCTCTCTCTCTCTCTCACCTACAGGCTTATTGTTCCCTCAGGTAATTAGAAGTACCTGTATTCAGTCTCTTATATTTTTATTTTGTTCCCCCAACCAGACTTGTACTGTCTTAATTAACATCCAGACGTGTAGTGAGTCTTATCATTCAGGGGGTAGGAATGAAGGAACAGTGCCCACACACTTGAACAATCGGGAATCGAGCACCGACCTGCAAGAAACGAAGGCGTTGCTGAACCAACCAATGAAGGGGGTTGGGCAGAGCAAAATAAATAAATATAAAAAAGCCTTTTCACAACAATTTATATTTTAAGGAATTCCTTTTCAATATAATTATTGAACGGTCATTTAATTGTCTGGTATTATACGTCGGTGCCTTTCTTATGAGTCTTTCAATGTTTAACTTATTATCCTTCGATAAAAAAAAGGCTTTGAATTTGGGCAATAGTAATGTGTAGCAGACGTCATTCTTAATAACCACCACCATCTTTGGACAACCACAACCTCTCCCAACACCACTACCCCCACCACCACCATCATCAGACAACCACAACCTCTCCCAACACCACTACCCCCACCACCACCATCATCAGACAACCACAACCTCTCCCAACACCACTACCCCCATCACCACCATCATCAGACAACCACAACCTCTCCCAACACCACTACCCCCACCACCACCATCATCAGACAACCACAACCTCTCCCAACACCACTACCCCCATCACCACCATCTTTGGACAACCACAACCTCTCCCAACACCACTACCCCCATCACCACCATCATCAGACAACCACAACCTCTCCCAACACCACTACCCCCATCACCACCATCATCAGACAACCACAACCTCTCCCAACACCACTACCCCCATCACCACCATCATCAGACAACCACAACCTCTCCCAACACCACTACCCCCATCACCACCATCATCAGACAACCACAACCTCTCCCAACACCACTACCCCCATCACCACCATCATCAGACAACCACAACCTCTCCCAACACCACTACCCCCATCACCACCATCATCAGACAAACACAACCTCTCCCAACACCACTACCCCCATCACCACCATCATCAGACAAACACAACCTCTCCCAACACCACTACCCCCATCACCACCATCATCAGACAACCACAACCTCTCCCAACACCACTATCCCCACCACCACCAAACAACAACAACCACCACTCCTCTCACCACCACCAACCAAACACAATAACCACAAACACCACAGCTGCTAATCTTGAGTTCCAGGGGTTAAAGTCTTGATTTCATAACTGCCAAGAGTATTATAACCAAGTCTTACAACACACAAGATCTTAATATCAAGGAGGGAGCCGCGGCCCCTAATATAAGAGGGGAAAGTCTGAGGGAAAAGTGATGAAAGATGCAGGTGGTGGCAGCACCGCATCAAAGGCTCTGTGTCATTACAGGAAACAATACAGAGAGAAACGGGAGCTTCTACCAGAGGGCTGAGGTAGGGGTAGGGAAGGAGGGGGAAGAGGGAGAAGGGGAAAAGAGGGGGGCAGGGGGGTTGTGGGGTTCGTCCTCAGCTGCCAGGAACGAATTAGTGGAACGCGTTCGAGTTTTTTTGGGGGGTCATATGGGAGAGGATCAAAGCTTTTCTTCCCCTTTCTATTGGGTCGTTTTTTCGTATATAAAACGCATTCCTAAGTTACGACAAGCGATAATCATTGTGTTGGGATACGAGATTCCAACTAAACTTTGCGGTATGAGCGTGTTCATTATTCCCCCTCAGTAATTTGTATGTTGCGATCATGTCATCTCTGTTCGTTTTCGCCTTTAGGATTGTAAAATTGAGTTCCTTTAACCTATATTCGTAACTTGACCCGTCTTAGTGTTGGGCACTAATCTTAATTTACCATATCTAATAATTAGCCTTAGTTTCATTGTTAATTTAAAAAAAATAATTTGAGGAGAAAGCCAATATGACTGTATAGCACATGAATGGGATACAAGGATAGGAGCTGGGATAGTGGGGAAGGAGTAAAAGAACGACTAGAACCATCAAGGATCGAACACCGACCTGCAAGAAGCCAGGCCGAAATTTAAGTAAATATATACAAACTATTTTTGCAGTATCTTGCATCATAAGGATGTTCATGTGCAGCGGTGCTACACCACAGTGTCACAAGAGCCCTACACTCAGTGACGTGAAGCCCTCAGTCTCCAACGAGGCCCTCAGACTCCGTCGAAGCCTCCGGGCCACTGACAAGGCCCCCTCAGACCCCGTCGAAGCCTCCGGACCACCGACAAGGCCCCCTCAGACCCCATCGAAGCCTCCGGACCACCGACAAGGCCCCCTCAGACCCCGTCGAAGCCTCCGGACCACCGACAAGGCCCCCTCAGACCCCGTCGAAGCCTCTGGATCACTGACAAGGCCCACTCAGACCCCGTCGAAGCCTCCGGACCACCGACAAGGCCCCCTCAGACCCCGTCGAAGCCTCCGGGCCACCGACAAGGGTCCCTCAGACCCCGTCGAAGCCTCCGGGCCACCGACAAGGCCACCTCAGACCCCGTCGAAGCCTCCGGACCATCGACAAAGACCCTTCAGACCCCGTCGAAGCCTCTGGATCACCGACAAGGCCCCCTCAGACCCCGTCGAAGCCTCCGGACCACCGACAAGGCCCCCTCCAGACCCCGTCGAAGCCCTCAGACCCTGACGCGGCCCCTCCAGACCCCGACGAAGCCTTCCCTGCAGGGGGACCTCGCCGAAGCCTCGGGCCAAACATTTTTCAGTGTCGCAACAATATAAGGAGTTTAGTCAGCTCTCGTCAAGAACATTTAATAAATCATTAAAGTTAGGCACCGTACCATAATTGTTAAGCGAGGCCAATAAAGTCCCATTTTTTAAAATGCAGTAGATGCATTATTTATTTAGTATTATTTACATCATCATTTACATTTATTTACATTTACAAATTAGTAGTATTTTTAAAAATGCAGTCAATCAGCCCGCTTTTCATCAATTGTACGGGGGGGGGGGGGGTGAATTGCCGTTAAAAACGATTGTAAATGAATTTACACTTTTCTTCCAGAGAAAAAAATCAAAGATTACTAAAAATAGACAAAAACCAAGTTTAAACACAAATCCTGTTTGACACATATATTGTTCTTTTCAAATCTATTTGAAGAACTAGACAGTGATAAAATTTCCTTTATCACGCACTGGGAACACCAATGACTTTGTTTTACAGCGGAAACAGCCACGGGAGGAAAGTAGACTCAAAGTATCGTTATGCAAAGCAAAGTTTACCGATGACCTCAAATTGGATGCGAAATACGTTCCGATAATGACGTAGAGTTGACATAGGAAGACTGTATTGCATTTACCAATTTCCATTCCAATTCTAAAGTGGGTTTACTTTAACTTTAACCAACTTTAAAATTGCAATGTAAATTGGTAAATGCAACAGTGCTAACATGTGCAACATGCTCACAGCCGAGGAAATTAAGCCAATCGGATCCAGACATTTCCTGAACAATACCGAAATTACGAAATTAAATCGGGAAAAGCAATTATTAGAGATTCACTTAAAAAAAAATCACACAATACAGAAATGTTCAAAATAAGGTCTGCAATTGTAAAGTCTGCAAGGGTCCAGTGGATAACGTACTGGATGCGCCAGCGTGTTTGGATCATCAGGCTATCTAAGGTTCGAATCCTTCGCGAGGTTGAATTCTTTAGCTACATATAACTTGCGCCTTCATGCAAGTGTGTCGTTTGTGTGTATATATATATATATATATATATATATATATATATATATATATATATATATATATATATATATATATATATATATATATATATATCCTGTCGGTCTTCCTATTTTGTGGACTTGGAGAGACCTCTCCCCGTCCATCATACTGCAGATCACATTTTATCAAGCCGTGGTCGACTGCTTCCGGAGATCTAGTCATGACACTTGTACCTGCTCAGCCCCCAGGAAGCAATCCCATCAGGACGATGGTCGCCAAGAGTCTCTCTCTCTCTCTCTCTTCCTGCTACAGCGGCGGCCCCTACCCTCCTCCCCGACCCCATCCCCGTCATCACTCAAAATGGCGAGCAATATACTTATTCCGTCCTCGACTCCGGTGCTGGGTTCTGGGTCCATCACTCTCGCACACACTGTACCTCGGTCCCTCTGGCATTGATCTTGGTCAGGGTAACCTATGTCGTGATGTGCGTGTGTGTGTGTGTGTGTGTGTGTGTGTGTGTGTGTGTGTGTGTGTGTGTGTGTGTGTGTGTGTGTGTGTGTGTGTGTGTGTGTGTGTGTACGTGTACTCACCTAGTTGAGCTTGCGGGGGTTGAGCTTCGGCTCTTTGGTCTCGCCTCTCAACCGTCAATCAACAGGCATACAGGTTCATGAGCCATTTGGGCTCTATCTGTGTGTGTGTGTGTGTGTGTGTGTGTGTGTGTGTGTGTGTGTGTGTGTGTGTGCCTCTCAACCGTCAATCAACAGGCATACAGGTTCATGAGCCATTTGGGCTCTATCTGTGTGTGTGTGTGTGTGTGTGTGTGTGTGTGTGTGTGTGTGTGTGTGTGTGTGTGTGTGTGTGTGTGTGTGTGTGTGTGTGCCTCTCAACCGTCAATCAACTGGCATACAGGTTCATGAGCCATTTGGGCTCTATCTGTGTGTGTGTGTGTGTGTGTGTGTGTGTGTGTGTGTGTGTACGTGTACTCACCTAGTTGAGCTTGCGGGGGTTGAGCTTCGGCTCTTTGGTCTCGCCTCTCAACCGTCAATCAACAGGCATACAGGTTCATGAGCCATTTGGGCTCTTCACTTGAAACTGTGTATGGAGTCAGCCTCCACCACATCACTTCCTAACGCATTCCATTTATTAACTACTCTGACACTAAACAATTTATTTCTAATGTCTTTATGGCTCATTTGGGCACTAAAATTCCACCTGTGTCCCTTAGTGCGTGTGCCCCTTGTGTTAAATAAACTGTTTTTGTCTACTCTGCTAATTCCTTTGAGAATCTTGTATGTGGTGATCATGTCCTCCCTATCTCTCATGTCTTCCAGCGACGTGAGGTTTAATTCGCGTAGTTTCTCCTCATATCTCATGCCCCTTAGGTACTAGTCTGGTGGCAAACCTTTGAATCTTCTCCAATTCAGTTTTATGCCTGACGAGATATGGACTCCATGCTGGAGCTGCATACTCCAGGATTAGTTTGACATATGTGGTATACAAGGTTCTGAATGATTCCTTACGCAAGTTTCTGAAGGCCGTTCTTACGTTGGCCAGCCTGGCATATCTAGCTGATGTTACCCTCTTGATGTGGACTTCGAGGGACAGCTATGGTGTGATATCAACCCCCCAGGTCTTTATCTCTCACCAACTCTTGAAGAATTTCATCTCCCAAATGATACCTTGTCTCTGGCCTCCTGCTCCTTACACCTATCATCATTACATTACATTTGCTCGGGTTAAACTCTAACAACCACTTGTTCGACCTTTCCTTCAGTGTGTCCAGGTCTTCTTGAAGCTTCATTCTGTCCTCCTCTGTCTTAATCCTTCTCATAATTTCGGTGTGTGTGTGTGTGTGTGTGTGTGTGTGTGTGTGTGTGTGTGTGTGTGTGTGTGTGTGTGTGTGTGTGTGTGTGTGTGTGTTTGTGAACTTCTTCAGCAAGCCTAGGATTAAGGCAACTTAAGTTGATGGAAACCTTTATCCAGACTCCGGGAGTCCGTCAATGTGATGAGCTAGACTCCCGTGCGGACCTGAACTGATAGGTATTGCAACAAGACAACATCACCTGCATCCCCTATAATCTCCTGCATCCCTAGCAGTGCATCTCTAGCAGTGCCTATCCCTCGGCACTGCTGCAAGTGAACCGATGAAGAACATTGCAATGAGAGCAAGGATGAACTCGCAAGATTGGTCTTGTACATTTCCACCAATCACAACTCAGCTTACCAAGGTGAGCATTTTGAAGGTCCCATAGATCACATCCCTGCAAGCTTAGATCTCACCTGTGAAATTATTTTCAACCAAGTTGACCAAATTTACTCAAGATGGCATTTGTTTTGACTTTCAGAATGAGACTGTATTGCTGCTAGATGTAAACATTTATACAGATAATTTAACCCCTTACAGCATTCATTTACACATCTAAGGAAAATTATGAGGAATAACGATAATAAATGGGAGCATAAACGTCATCCCAGAGTCAACACATTGTCTCTCTTGCTCTCTCTCACGTAGCCTGTGTCACAGACACATTGTGACACGTGTGACACAGTCCACATTGTGACACAGTCCACAGTGCTGCTTCAGCCAGCAGCTGCCACAGTGAACTTGTGTGGGGGGAGCCAATGTAAGTGATTTATGTGTAGCGCGCCAACCTTTTACCTTGTTAGTGGGGACATGTCAGTGGTACATGTCAGTGGGTATTTTGTCCACTGTGGGTTGTGTTATTGAAGAGTACGTCCTCCCATACCATGTTCCTTTACCCGGGATCATATCTGTTACCTCATAATGATTCCGAGAGTTCTCCTATTTTGTTATATATCCAATCCTCATATCTCTACAGTATAGTCAAACTCGCTTTGTTCTTATAACTGTTAGTTTTTCCCTTCTGATGTGGTCTGGTCTGTGGCTACAGCCTTCCCTAGTAATTAACTGGTCTGTGAGGCTGTGTTATTTGTCTTCGGAGCTCGTAAAGACCACAGAGCCAGGTGAATCCTGTAACTCCAACAGGAACTTGAAACTTTCCACTGTTCCTTCTGCAACAATTCTTGCATTTGGCTGCAAGGAGGCTGAGGAGTCGCGAGCCACTGCTGTTTACATCTTGTTATCGAACTGTATCTCTGGCATCTCGACGACGCTATCTTTTATTAAGGCATCTTTTTCGTCTGCATTTGGAGCTGCTATATTTCCACTTCCAGTTATCCTTCCTCTCAGAAGCACTCCATCCTTCATCGTACCGTTTCCCATAGTTGGGAACAACGGGCAGCCTGTTAGGATTGTCGATGTCTTCCCCTTCCCTCCTCTCTCCTGGCCAGCTGCCCACAACAGCTGCCTAGTTTACTAGTGAAGAAAGGCATCATGTGAAAAGAAAACCGCTAAAACCATCTCTGTCTCGCCTGTGGATCGAATCCTAGATCCTAGATTAGCGGCCGATGATGTAGGCCACTACGCTATCATTCAACTGTAACACCTCACCACCCACTGAGGTGTGAGTGTGTACACATACACCCATTCCCACCAGGAACACCCCAATGTGGGAGCCAGGAAGCAAAGGACACACCAGCCTCTTCAATTGAGTGGAGAACGCAATATTTCAGGCAGCATCTGCAAGGACGGAGCTCAACCGTTCCTTGACCAATGGTTTTATCACCAACATCCCTGGAAGTTGGTCTGCTTGAGAACCCCCTTACCTCTAACACTGAACCTCTATTTTCCCCCCTCTAATCCAGCCTCTCTTCTCTCAACCCCAGCCCCTCCGTCCCCTATATTTTAACCCAGTTCTCTACCTGTTATGGTCGTGAAAACCTATCATTTTCCTCCTTCAACCCAATCGTTTTTCCCTTGCCTACTTTCCTCCCTCCTATTCCTCCTCCTCCTGCTGTCGGGCCCTTGTGCTGGAGGGTCAATATTGTCTCTGGCGATAAAGTTTTTTCCCCCCTTCACAGCTTTGAGCTTCACTGAGCT